AGTATTGCACTGCAAACCTACACATGTTGAGACAGGATCAAAGTAGACTGAGCACTCAAGCAAACAGAATACGAAAGTGCACTGTGCTTTTTAAACACCCTAATTCCATTAAACTCACAGTCTCTAAATGTGGCAATTGTCGCTGCAGATGAGCAGCACGTTCCACAAAGCTAAACTCGTGAATAAGGAAGAACCCCCTCTGCACATGCGCAAATCCCTCCGGACTCGACTAAGTTTTCCCCTCGGCAAAGAGTACGGCCGGTCGGATTTAGCTCCAGTATTAAGGCGAACTCCGACCCCGGTTTAAACAGCCCCGATTCCTCGCACGGCCGCCTGTCCGTCCGTCCGTCCCTCCCTCCCTTCTTTGAGTCCTCGCCACCTGCCGCTTCTCCTGCCCGAGAGCCACCCCTCTGCCGCTGCCTCCAAACGCCAGACCGCCTTGCACATGCACACACACGTACACACACACCCGACGTGTCTCCGCCCCCTCCTCGACTCACCATAGTACGTGGCGCCCCCGTCACAGGAAAAGCAGGCGGGGAAGAGGGATTGGGCCGGGCGAGCCCGCGCGTCGCCGCACGTCAGTGCTGATGCCGCCGCGCCGTCACCGCAGGGGGCGAAGGAAATGGCGGCCGGCGCCGTTGCTGCACAGCTTTCCAGGGCCTGTGCAAGGAATGAGGCAGGGCGGAGCCTGATCCGCCCCGCCCCGCCCACCCACCCCCGCCGGCGCTCCAGGGCCCCGCTCATTGGCTACTCGTGGGACTCAACTGCTGGAATTCGCGCCAACCGTCTTTCAAGTCCCCACCCATTGGCTAACTACGAGGGGCGGACACGAGATTCGTAGCGCCGTTCTTTGCCTTGTAGGATCGCAGCAAGTGCCGATCCGAGTAAGGAAGAACAGCTGTTCCCGGAGCTGTGCCAGTACAAAGTCCCACAGTTCCATGTAGGCAACCCTGATGCGCAAATATCTATGAAAATACCTCGAGTGTAAAAGCCCGCCAAACCCCGCCCCCTATTCTTTCACGAGCCTGCCCTCCGTTACGGCATGTATGGGAAATAGAGTCGGGCTACTATATCCGGCCTCAAAACTTGATACGGTCCCTGGAGAAGAGGGTGGGGTCACTGTGGTCTCTGCATCTTGTTGCTGTCATCTAGTGGTCGTCCGGATTTTTGGAACCCAATTTTGCTAGTCTTCATGGAAGAAAATGCTCCAGTCTCTGGGAGGCTGCCCGATTGTTACGCTAGGCAAAATATAGTTGGCTACTTCCTAACAGTGTATTATTGGTTCTTTGACAATTTCCTTTCAAGAAGTTAGTGACTGGACTTTTAGGCTGCCTAAAAGCTGAGTTGCTGTAGCATTGAGAACTAGCTAGCAAAACATGTTTGCTCAAGCACTTACTTGATGAATCAGTGCATCATATTGACATGGAAAACTTAGATTAATTCAAGACATGTGATTTCAGTAAATGTGTACGGTGATCATACAGTATATTATATTCTATTGGATTTTATGCAAGCAACACGTTAGGCTGATTTCAGATTACAATAAATGTAGAGATCTGTGAAATATCATTTTGATCACTGCAGCTGAGGCATGTAAAAATTAAGAATTCAATAACTAAAAACTTTCCATGAATAATTAGATATATATAAAAAAACAAGGCCCTACAATAATAGAAAATGTGTAGGAGTGCTTTGGACACCATTCAAACTGAGGAACAGTATCTACCACTATTCATTAAGCAGCTTGACTTTCTTTCAGCTTGAATGTGAGCCTGGAAAAGAGTTACAAATGCTTTGCACTGAGTCATCTCCTTAAACAGGTGTAACTTTTTTTTCAAGGTGGTACAGTGCAGAGATGATTATCTAGCATGGACTGTTTATAGCAATGGGCAAAACTCACCATGTTCTACCAATGCTGAACCTCCACACCAGTGGTAGGTTGCCCTTGGTTTGGACCGGTTCGCAAGAACCGGCAATAAAACTGGTGGGAGGCTCCGCCCATTGCCCCGGACGTTGTCATAGCTGATTTGCACATACGCACGATCCTGTTGCGAACCGGTAATAAAGGTAAGTAGAATCCACCCCTGCTTCATAACATGTAATTTTAATTCCTGAATCTGCTGAATGATCCCCAAGATAACACAGTCTAGAATGCAGCATTTTGTCCCCAAATGAATGACTTTTGGCAGTGTGATTCCCTTCTCCCTTATTTGCAAACACCACCACCACCACCATCTATCTTCATCCTACTGACTACTATAACCATTACAAATACAAAAAGCAGAGCAAAGGTTTCTCTCAGTTTTTTTAAAATCTGCTCTATTTATTCATCACTGGAAGGATAATAAAATTCTGAGTCTGATATAGGAAAGATAGAATACAATTTTTCTCCTTAATACTACCAACAAGATAAGGAGAACAAACATGCATATGATTAAGTTTCAAAACATGCACATTGGTATGAACTACAAATTGCATCATCTCTCATATTAACCATGTTCAAATATATCTAGATAGCTTTAGGTTGCCCTGCCTTGGAAGTTCTTTTTCAGCTTTCATTTTGCCGTACTCTGAGGCTCTTTCCCAGTGAAAACCAGTTTTTTAAGATAAAGAGTTCCACCATTTCGTTTTGAAACCACTCCACCAATTTTTATGAAAACTGGCCAACACAACAACCATCTTGGGTGTTTGAATGTGTCTGTTTTTGTGATTCAGTTTAACTGATTGCAGAGGAATTTTATCTGCCTTTAACATGCCTGGAGAAACAACTGATCAGCAGATAAATGTTTATCTGTATAATAAGGAATGGGGTTAAGAAAGAAAATAATTAGACTACTCTTTCTTGGCTGTATTTTCTCTCAAAGGGTCCCAATTTTCTTCCAAGTCTACACTTATCCTTTGTATTGCTATTACTACATTTCTGGTTCTAATAAAATCATCACCCATGTAATGATTGTGGATAAAATTCTCAGATATTTTTTTAATCTAGTGATTATTTGGTAAGGACTCAGAATGATAGATCATTTTCCTTCCAGCGTATGCTACATACATACACCCTAGGATTATAACTTCTGTCATTTACAGTCAGTAGGGTAGAGATAAGAACTGTAATCAAATGCATCTGACGTTTGAGAAAGATTGAGTTATGTGGCTCATCACAGAAGTCTGGCTTCCGGGGTTATCACTAAGGAGATTACTAAACCCTGAGGAAATAAAAATATCTTCTAGAAAGTACCATCATGCCTTTTATCTTCCATTTACATTTTGGGTATGAGATCCTATTTTTGAAGGAATTAATTGCTGCTGGAAGCAGAGGGCTAAATTTGAGACCCAAAACTTCATCTTGAATGCTGACATTTCTCTTTAGGACAACTATGAACCACCATTAAATACTGACCCATCTATATATATATATAAGCGAAAACCACTCACACTGTAATCACGAAATCTGCAGAACCGTAAAGCCTACAAACTTGAAATTTGCCACGTATGTTCCTCTTGGCTTCTAGGTGTTCACTAAGAAAGGATTTTTCAAAATGACCATCAGAGCATTAATATTTCCTATATTATGATTAACACGCTCTGATGCTAAGGAGTTCTACTCCCCCTCCCCACCTGAAAAGAAATCTGTTCCAAATGCAAAACACAAGCTGAGGAGAGGAAAGTAAAACTTTCAGTTTTATTTTCACAGCAGCAACCAGGCGATAGGATAGGGGAGGCTTCTGTGGGACAAGGCTGAGGGAGAAAAGAGGGTAGGATAGGGGAGGCTTCTGTGGGGCAAGGCTGAAGGAGAGAAGGGGGATAGGATAGGATAGGATAGGATAGGATAGGATAGGATAGGATAGGATAGGATAGGATAGGATAGGATAGGATAGGATAGGGTTCTGTGGGGCAAGGCTGAGGGAGAGGAGGAGAGGGGAGAGGCCGATCATAACTACTCATTAATTTTCAAGCTGTAAGTGTTGATTTATCAAGCCCGATCACATAGTTTCATAGCGAAGCACAGGTATCCAGCTAGTTGTATTATAAATGCAAGTGTTATCAAACTCCACAAAACTCCAGTAATTTAATTGGGAAAGTATCTGAAGTTGGTATGAGCACAGTACTCATGTGATTTCTGTTCTGGGAAGAGTGTTCCTAAGCAAGATGCACATATAAAACATAGTGATTGAATTCAATTTTTTAAAATGTGTATTTTGCAAGATCACACCACTCCTTTTTTGAAAATTTGATTTCAGAGTTAGCATGTCAAGAAAATTTGGTAAAACATTTAAAATATGATGTGAAATAATTTTATTTACTTACTGGATTTATATTTTTATATATTTATTTATTAAATTTGTTTGCCATCCATCTCACCATGAGGTGACTCTGGCTTACAATGTTTAACAGACTAAAACTATACAGAAACATGCATATAATAATAAAATACTATAAAAATACAACATCAGCTTTAACTAAAAGATGGGGGAAGATATGGTATGAGCGGGAAAGTGGGTGGAGATGTGGGATCTGTTGTTAATTTATCAACCATCTCCAGCATGACGCTCCCCTATTGGATCAAGCCAACTGGCGGAGCCAGGTATTCAAGCTCTTGCAAAAGGTCACTAGGGCGGGAGCCAATCTCATGGGGATGGGGGATGGGGGACAGGGACCAATCAGAACTCCCTGGCCGATGAGGCCCACAACATGCGCCCTCTGCCAGCATGGGTGTGTCAGACCAATCACATTGGGATGAGATGTTCCTTAAGTAACGACCCATCTTCCTATTCAATGCAACTCTGGTCTTCAATGTAATACAATTATAAATATAAAAGCATTAAAATTAACAGCAATTACATAAATATAAAAAACCAAGAACATGAACAGTACAGGAATGGGCTTTTGTCTATTGTTCCACAAATACCTCCAGCATAGCATCTCCCCATTGGTTACCTAAGGCAAACCCAGATTTTAAGGCCCTTCTGAAAGGTGAAAACTGTGGTATTGGATCTCACCTCTGACAGTAAGATGATGCAGAGCGCAGGAGGTCATAATAAAAGGCTCTTTTTCCAAGATCCTGCTAGTTGAAATTCCTTGACCAATGGGATCTGCAGCAAGCTCCCTCTGTCAGAGTAAATGGGGTGGGCCAATCCCATTGTATTTAGTTATGAATGACCAGCAAACTAGCTACAATTAAAAACAGCACAAAAAAGCAGTCTCAAATACAATAAAGTCAATAAAACCACTGTACAGAATTGCCAATTAAAATGTATAAATATAAGAAAATAAAACACAAATCAAAGCAAAATAAGAAAAAATAAAAACAAAATAAAAAGGATAAAATGGAAGTCTGATGACATCATTCCAAGATTAATGTCTGTGGAGATTCTCAGTCATCCAGGTCATGGTTGTCCCAAAGGTGCTTTTTCAAGAGGCAATGGGACTTTCTGGGATTTTTTAAAAAGACATTTTGCTTCTCATTCACTTCATAAACGCATGGCACAACATACAGTAGTGGCCAAAAACGTGGAAACCTTTTGGGAAAAGTGTATTTTCTAAAGCTAGCTAATAACACCACTTTTTTAAGGAGTAATACCATAAAATTATATATCAATGGAAAGATAAGTTAATCAAGAATGTAATGCAATAACCTTTATGAAGGATTTGCTATTAGAATAGCAGTTGCAGTATAAAGAAGAAAAATGAAACACATAGAAAAAACAATATACAAAAATTAGAAAAATAGAAAAATGAGCTATACAAAAATTATTATGTCAGTTAATACTTCGCTGGGCAACTTTTAGCATGAATTAGGGCCTTACAACATCTTCCCATGGAGTGAACCAAGTCTTTTACGGCTGTTATAATGTGAAACCAAGATTGAATGATTGCTTCTATTACCTGGGTTTTATTGCAGGGTCGCTTCTGACTAACAAGTTTCTTTAGTCGGCTCCATATTTTCAATTGGGTTAAGGTCTGGACTATTTCCAGGCCATTCCAGCAGTGGAATATGATTATCTTGAAACTCCCCCCAAAAAAGTGGTGTTATTAGCCATCAAACCTCAAAAAATACATTTTTCCCAAAAGGTTTCCACAATTTTGGCCACTACTGTAGAACAAACCCATCAGGACTAGATTCAGCAGTCCATCTGTATTTAAAAGAAAAAGGCAACTCTTTTGAAGACAGCAAAATCTTCAAAAGTCTTTTGGACAGAGAGGAGCATTGGTTTGAAAGAGGGGTCAAAGAGGCCATCTATGTCAAAATTGAACAACCCTCTCTCAACAGAGGGGGAGGTATATGACATCATCTATCTCCAGTCTACAACACAGTCCTTTCCGCACTTCCAAGGAGGCTCCACACCCATTTGCACCAAACAGGTGACCCTCATGACACAGATAAACCTTCAGGCAGCTAAAAGAATGCAAATTACTAGCTATCTGCAAGGAGTATAAATCCTTCCATTCCCCACCATCCAGTCAGAACTGAAGAAGATCTTGGATGAGAAGCGAAACATCTTCAAAGAAAAACCACTAAGTCCAATTGCCTCTTGAAAAAGTACTTTTGGGACATTCCAAGGTTAAGACACCTCTGAACATTCTTACAGCAATAGCTGCTTATAAAAACTTGGCAAGTCGGTGATAACGTTTCCATCAGAGTATAACAATATAAGCCACTTTTCCCTCACTGAAAACATGATTTGAGTGGCGTTTATTCCAGCTCGTAAATTCTTACAGAATAGTCAGTGAAGAAATATATGCACCAGGATCTCATTAAACAGATTTTATGAAACCTTCCATTCAATACTGTTGAGGGTATTTAGTGTCCACTAAAGCAGGCCCAAGAAGTGTAAACAGTAGGGATTGCTAAGCATGCCAGACTGCATAGGTAGTTTGCAGGTCTAAAAGGTTTGCAGGAAGGAACCCTATCCTATAGATTACCTATACTTTGGAGTATAGGTAACTTTGGAGGAGGAAGGTGTGTTGTATATGTTTGCTGCTGAGTTATTTATTTAGCATATGGGGATGTATAGAAAGCCTGCATTGAAGAAAGCAGAGATCAGTAGCCAATAGGACTTGGAAGCAACCACCAAGGTTGATGATGTCATCATTGCCCAAAGGGCACCCAATGGGGGCCTCTCCTTTTTTGTCCCCACATGGGTTCCAACCAAAGTGGTACCTATTTATCTACTGACGTTTTTACATGCTTTCAAACTGTTTAGGTGGGCAGAAGCTGAAACGAGTGGTGGAAGCTTGCCCCACCACACTGTACCCAAGTCTCAAAGTTGGACTTGCCAATCGTCAAGTCTCAGTTCTAACCACAGACTCACCATGCCCCTTTGCTGCCTTCAGCTATTTGAAAAAATAATATTGGTGGGATATAAATGAGATAAATAATAAACCCCAGCTTTTGCTTTTTTAAGATTTAAAGGTAGCAGGGGTGAAATGCTCCCGGTTTGGACCGGATCACTCAATCCGGTAGTGATGGTGGTGGGAGGTTCAGAGAACCGGTAGCAAAAATCCCTGCCCCCCACATGCCCAGCTGAGCCGCGCGAGCATCAGAGGCTTTTTTTTAATTTTTAAAAGCGTTTTTTCTACAACCTCTTCAGCCGAAAAAATGCTTTTAAAAGAAAAAAAAAGCCTCTGATGATCGCACAGCTCAGCTGGGATCGTCAGAGGCTTTTAAAAGCATTTTTTTATAACTTCTTTGGCCAAAGAGGTTGTACAAAAATGGTTTTAAAAGTTAAAAAAAAAAGGTGGCCATGCCCACTCAGTCATATTACCCCACACACACACCAAGCCATGCCCACAGAACCAGTAGAAACAAATTTTACATTTCACCACTGAAAAGTAGTAATGAGTCACAGCAACAAAGAGGTTAGAGAGACAGAGGTCAGCTGACATTTTTAATCTGCAAAACCACCAAAAGGAATTAGTGGTGTCAATGGACATCAGAAAATGTACCGTATTTTTCAGAGTATAAGATGCACTTTTTCCCCCTAAAAGAGGGTGAAAATTTGGGTGCGTCTTATATACCACATGTAGCCCTGCCCACCCGCTGGCCCCCACCCTTTTGGAGCTTTGGAGGCTGCAAATGGAGCCTCCCAAACAGAGAGCCTCTCAAACAGCCTCCAAAAGGTCCGTTTGAGAGGCTGCCTTTGCAAAGAGAAGCTCCTTTGCAAATGGAGCTTTTGGAGGCTGCAAATGCAGCCTCTCAAACGGACAGCCTCTCAAGCAGAATTTTTTTTTCTTACTTTCCTCCCCCCAAAATAAGGTGTGTCTTATACTCCACAGCGTCTTATACTCTGAAAAATACGGTAAGTGTGAGTCAATACGAGTTGGGGGTATAAGGATTCTTACCTCTGGTGAGATCATTCCCATGACATGCAAATTAAAAGATTATAAACCATCCAGAATTACCCTGTGGTAAAACAGGTGACCAAAAATTTTTACCCCCCCCCCAATTTTTTTTTTAAATGTAGTAGCTTTAGCAGAAATGACTCTAGATTGTTCTTACCAACTTCCAGAAGATTGAAAAATTACTTTTACATATTTTAAAGAGGAACTTATTCTATTTTGTTATTCCTATTTATCACTGATGTTTATGGCAGCTAGATCCAGGACGAACCGGTAGCAATCCACCACTGGCTTATGCCAGTGGTGAAATCTGAACCGGTTTACTACTGGTTCGCTGGCCGCACATGTGCGCCATGCACCAAACGTGCACTGTGTGCGCACAGTGCACACCAAAGGCTTGGGAAGGTAAGTAGAACAGCGCGGGGGGGGGGCTGATCAGCTGTGGCGCGCAGGGGAACCTTTTAAAAAACCTTTTAAAAGCATTTTTTACTACTGGCTCGGGTGAATAGGTAGTAAAAAATGCTTTTAAAAAGTAAAAAAAAAAAAAAAGGTTCCAACAATCGTGCGGCAGAGCTGTGATTTTAAAAAGAGAGCCTCTTTTTAAAAACTTTTTAAAAGCATTTTTACTACCTAGTCGCCCGAATTGGTAGTAAAAAAAGGCCTAAAAAGTAAAAAAAAAAAAAAAAAGTTCCCATGATTGCGCGTCGCTCAGCTGATCGTTGGAACTTTTTTTTTACATTTCTTACTACCGGTTCGGCAAATCAATAGCATTTTTTACTACCGATTTGGGCGAACTGGCCCAAACCGGTAGCATTTCAGCCCTGGCTTATGCCCTTTAATAAATTATTACTTGGAAAAAGTACATTCAAAATGTCCTGATTTTTTCCACATACTGTACTTCTCCTAGGGAATATACATTTCTGTATGCAGCAGGGGGCAGTGTATAGTTTGCCTGATCTCAAGAAAAATATGAAAGCTGTACCTGCATAAAAAGTCAACTGGGAAATAGCAGGGTATAGAATTGAAAAGAATAAAATAGAAGAATCTCTTGCTAAACAAATTACGTAGGATATATCTGCAAAGTCATCAAGATTAAGTTTTATGCCAGGAAATAAGGCTTTTAAGTTACGTTATTCTCTCTAGAAGTTATGAGTTTATTTCTCCTTCACCACTCTCTCTCCAGCAGCTGTTCACTTGGGGGCTAATCACACAAGGTGAGGGCCTAAATTAAAGAGGAAGTTGAAAAACTAGCGCTCACTTTAATGCCTTCCTATTCCTGCATTTGTTGAAAGCAAAAAAAAAAGGGGGGGTGAGTTGTCCCAAAGGTGCTTTTTTCAAGAGGCAACTGGACTTTCTGGTTTTTTCTTTGAAGACATTTCGCTTCTCATCCAAGAAGCTTCTTCAGCTCTGACTGGATGGTGAGGATTTAAATTCCTCAATCACTCTCTAAAAGGATACAAATGACCAGTTGTCTGCAAGTAGTATAAATCCTTCCATTCCCCACTATCCTGTCAGAGCTGAAGAAGCTTCTTGGATAAGAAATGAAACATCTTCAAAGAAAAACCAAAAAGTCCAGTTGCCTTTTGAAAAAAGCACCTTTGGGACAACCACGACCCGGATGACCGAGAATCTCCACAGACATTTAAGGGACGGGTTATTAAAATACCTGGGGTTTTGATTTACAGGAATCACAACTGTCAGTTTTGGACTTGAGGGACAGTTATTACATAAATTTCAAAACGTCTATGGACATCTCTGTCCAGGCTTGTGAAAAAGCAGGCTTTCCAACACCAAATTTGATTCTGTATCACAGTATCTTGTCAAACGTTTTAATATTCGGATGGTAAATCTCAGATAAATCTAACCTTGGGCGGGGGGAGAGGTTCGTATAAAGTTAAAAGCCCAAAGAACCAACCGTGAAATCGGAGCCACGATTATGCTGCAAAGTTACAGCCCCCTCATCAGCTCTCCGAGCCCGGCAGGTTCCGATCAGGCACATCCCGCGGTCCTTTATATGACCTGGATTCAGTCCAACAATCCCCTCAGCCGCCGACGCTCACTGGGCCAGTCTCAGATCACCTCGAGGGGGTGAAACCCGAAGGCGAGTGTTGAGCTCCTGAGGGAAAAGCGAAATATAGTAAATCGAGGAACCGAAGCAGCAATTTAACCGGAGGACTATTGTTTCCCTCCGTTAGATATATCGAATTTTTTTTTTACCTATTCTGAAAAGGCTTCTTTCAAAAGAAAGAGAGAGCGGGAGTCGACTACATTCCCACCCTTCCCTCTTTGATCGGAAAGCAGCGCGCTCTCACCTGAGACTCACCTGAGACAGGGAAACCCCACCGCACAGGTTAAAGTCTGACTGCGCCTGCGCAATCCAACCCCTCCGTTACGCCGGAGGAAGCTGCATTTATTCATGTATGTGAAGGAACGGCAGCGGCGTGTTTGTTTGGCCCTTCTCGTGTCCCATATACGGGGCGAAACCAACTCTCCCCACAGCCTGGGAGGGAAGGAGAAGTAAAAAAAAAAAAAAGAGCGATGAAAAGGAGTCAGGTTATTATTGGTGTTAGGCCGTGGCGCACTGTCTGACAGGGCGGCTTGACATACTGAGAAAAGGTGTAGTGGTGGGGGGGGGGGGAAACAAAACGACTGCCTTTAGGTTTCGGAGGGCGTCAAAGAAAAGAGCGGTGAAATGGTCGCGCCCCCTCTGACCCACAACCCCCCCATACACTCCGCCCGCTCCGAGCCAATAGGAGCCCAGTGGGCGGGGTTCAACGGGCAGCCGTGGCGGCTGGGTAATGGCAACCCTGTGAGGAAGGTCTGGAAGATCAATCTGCGCGCGAGATACACACGGTGCGGCGAGGGCGTGGGGAACGCGACGCTGACCCAGGCCTCCCCTGTTGCCAGGTAACAAGCAAAAGGGAAGAGGCTACGGGGGTGCATGTGTGTGAGTGGTGGGGGAGACGCTCTTCCTTCTCCAATCTTCCCTCTCCCCCCCCCCTCCCTCCGCGAGATCTCCTTTCATCGCTCCCCGGAGGATCCGGTGCCTCCCTGCCTCTCCCTCTCTCTCTCTTTAATTCCCCTCGTCCCGGTTAGCTCCGTCCTCGTTGCACTGACAACCCACCCGCCTCGCCCGAATCCCTTTAGCCGACCACCGCTTGGCTTCTCTCCTTCCTTCCCCCACCACCACCACCACCCGCCCGCTGTCGGCATTCAGTGTGAGTATGCGAGACACACACGCACACGCACACGCACAAAAACACACACAAACACGCGCGTGCCTGTGTCTGGGGGTGGCGGTACAACAAACCCGTTTCAAGCGGGATCGGCTGACATCCGTGCCGGCTTAGTCCCTGTGGAAATCGGCAGGACGTTAAAGGCTGCCCCGGTGTGGAAGGATGCTGGAAATGGGCACCGAGCAGGCCTTGACCCCGCAAGGCATCCACCAGATCCCCGCGTCAGTGGATGAGGGCAGAAAATTCATATAGGATCTCCCGGTCCGCAGCGGTGTTTTTGTTTCTAATCCATAATCAAGGTGTGGGGGGGGGAAGAGGGGGGGATGGCTGGGTTGAAAAAAAGAAGATTTTCACCATCCCGAAAGCAAACCGGCTGATATAGTGTTTAAAAACAAAAACAACCCAAAACCCGTGTTATTTCCTTTAATCTCGGTGATGAGATATAAGGTAAATTGCCTTCAAAAACTCCGGGGTGTCCCAGCTTCTGCCGATGGTTGTTGTTTTGTTTTTGAGGTTTTTTTGCTTGTCGATCCAGAATAAAGAATGCAAAAATGATGATTAAACTCTAGCCGGATCCTAAAAAAATTAGAGAGTTATATTTAAATTGTACATCTCAAAGACGTTCCCCCCCCCCTTAATAGCGTTTTTTTTTTCTCCACGAGGATGGCCTCATGCCATATCAAGCAGACATAGGATATTTACTTTGCTTTCCCAATGCTGGGGAGAAAGAAAAAAAAGGATAACAGGAGATTGTGCTCTAGTTTAGAGTTTGCGATATAGAAGGGCAGCCAGATTATAAGGCACTTGGAAAAAGTAATTTGCTGACAAAACCATGATGAGTACAGATGTTACATCTTGTACGGATTCTAGTAATGTAATGTTTTTATAAAAAGTGCTCAAGCTGTGCTGATGAACCATTACTCCCAATTACAAGTCACCGCCCATGTCAAAAATAGTTCACCAATTTGGCCTTTTGTCTTGTTTTAATTGGTCATAAGAAAAGTTAATTTAGGGGCTCCCCCAGTAGTCTAGCTATTTGATTTAATTAAACCATTATAATAGCCAACCTGCTCTTCAGATTTCATTATGTATTGCAAAATATAATAGATAATAGAAATAAGCTATTTTTCTTGATACTATGTTATCTTTATACTTCTTTTCACCTAAAAAGTTTTGCTGGAAATTGATCTATTTGAGTTTCATCCAAAATATTCTACCCTGATTTAGGATTTGTAATTCAGGTGGCAGCAGTAATGATATAAGGATAAAGTAATTGCACCTTTTTAGGAGTAGTGAATGGTAGAGTTCAGTAGGAAAGTGCAGAGGAAGTACTAGCCTTGCCAGCAATGTAGAATGTTTTTGACATAGATATTTTAACAGAAAAAATAAGATTGATATCTCAAAAATATATAATCATATTTGCAGTAGATATAATTAATAATTTGGATTTTTTTTCCAGATTCATTTTACTTCCCCACAATGTCCTTGAAACCACGAGTAGTTGATTTTGATGAAACATGGAACAAGCTTCTCACAACTATTAAAGCTGTTGTTATGCTGGATTATGTTGAAAGAGCAACATGGAATGATCGCTTCTCGTATCCTTTTATTAGAGGACAGATATTGATTACACAGGATTAAATGATGTACAGAAATTGATTTCTTTACAGAATTCAAAACTGAATAAAATACGTTCGGCATCAGCTCTAGCACCTGTAGGTTTTATAACATAGTGTCTGTTAAGAATTATGTATAGTATACACACTAGATTAAGCAAAATCTGATAATTTGCTAAGAATGGTAAGTATGTCTAAACTATAAAGGGTATGTTTAGTAGATGATTCTATGCAACCTGTTCTAAATAGAAAATGTGATTTCTAATTAGGAAAGTATCGTTCTAATCAAACCCACCAGTTACTCTGGCTGTTCTTGCTAAACTCATCTGAACTACTGTTAAGCTTTATTATGGGCCCACCAAAAAGCACAAAACAGATTTTCATTCGGAATTATTTTGAAGAAAGACTAGCTAGAACTAGAGAATCATGTGCTCTAGAGGAAATGATAGATGCTTGTCTTCCATCTCACTAGCAATTTTGGATCTTGTAAATTTCTGTTTCAAGGGCAATATATTAGTAAATGACCTACTATTTGTGCTTGACCTAATGAGTTGGGCTGAGTTGGATATAATCTATCTGCAGTTCATAGATAAGCTTTATTATTATATGAGAGTGTCCATGACAGGGAGATTAAAGTTGTTTATGGAACAGAAGAAAACCGCTAGGAAGTGAAAGTTCAGGAAATCTTTTTCAGGGACCATGCATCAGTAGCCATAGATCCAGTCAGACTACTGAACTGCAGTTTATATGCCATCCTTTATTTTCTTTAGATGTAGGATGCTAATATAATTCTAGCCATTCCAGTTTGTAAACCATGGCTTAAGCTTAGCATATTTTGTGCTGTGGGATGCTGTGCTTTATTGACTTCAGGTAGCATGGGTAACTATAATATGACAAGCTAGCAACTGTCCATGTTAGTACCAACTTTTTAAGAGTGTTCCCAAATGACATGTATGAATTTTTACTTTGAAGGGGGGTCCTGTGCTCCTGTCTCCAGCTTTTTCTCTAGATTACTATTAACTTACTTCATGTATGTCTTTTAACTGTGGTTTGAGAAAGAAAGCAAATGTTCTCAAAGGTTTTGGTGCATAATTAATATATTTGTGAAAGAAGGTAGAAAAAAAATTCAATCACACTTAGTAGATTTAGATGTAATATATACTGTATATCTAGGAAAAAATATCTTGTATCCTACTTAAAAATATAGATTGTTTTACTCCTTTAATCAGAAGCAGTATTTAGTTGTATCATAGATTTTAATCCCTCTTTTAATTAAGAAATGCTCCTTATGGAACTGAAAGCAAGATTAAGCATGCTTCAGACATTGTGTGTCCAGTATAGTTTCAATCTTTTGGAAAAAAAGCAATGGAAGGCCACATAGCACTTTTATTTGAAGCAGTAACTCACTTTCTCTTACCTTTTGACCTTCACATCTCCTCTGTTCGAACCTCTTTAGAAGTGAGATATTTCTGGCCCTGCTATGTTTGTGCCTCCCTCCCAGCAGATGTATGACAACTTAAGTCTGTTTCTAGAAATAACTGAATGTTTTATGACTTCATTTTATAAAATGATAATTGTTTTTTTATATATTGGGTCCAGGTTACCTTTAGAAGGTTGATTTTTTTTTCACACTAAGGAGCTCTTTCAAAATTCAGTTCTGTCCGCTCCTTTATTTATTTATTGCCAAATAAATAAGACAATTTCTTTTTGTTCAGGGTCTTGTGACTTCCTGCCTCTGGCTTAATTCAATCATTTTTCACAAAATCTTCCTATTTATTTATCCCAGTATTTTCAAATCTTACAATTGAAAGAGACTACAAGTAGTCCTTGACTTATGACCACAATTGAGCACAAAATTTATGTTGCTAAGTGAGAAATTTGTTAAGTGAGTTCTGCCTCATTTTATGACTTCTTTTGTCACATTTGTTAACTGAATCACTGCAGTTGTTAAATTAGTAACACTGTTTTTAAATGAATCCAGCTTCCCCATTGACTCTGTTTATCAGAGGGTCACAAAAGGTGATCACAAGACCCCGGGACACTGCAACTGTCATAAATGTGAGTCAGTTGTCAAGCATCCAAATATAAGTCACATGACCGTGGAGATATTGTAATGGTCATTAGTGTGAAAAATATTCATAAGTCACTTTTTTCAATGCCTGTGTAACTTGCAAGGGCGTGCTGAGGATTTTGCGCATTATCTGCACGATAAAATCGCTCAAATTCGGGACGGCCTGGGTGGGTTCAGGCGAGGTGTCCGAGGCGGATCTTGAGAATGTTATCTGGGAGGAGTTTGATCCTGTGACTCCCGAGGACGTGGACAGGATGCTGGGGAGGTTGAACGTAACCACATGTTTATTGGACCCGTGTCCCTCCTGGCTGGTGCTGGCTACCTGGGAGGTTACATGAGGCTGGCTCCAGAGGATTATAAACGCTTCTTTGAGTGAGGGTTTCTTACCTCCCGCCTTGAAAGAGGCGGTGGTGAGGCCCCTCCTCAAGAAGCCCTCTCTGGATCCGGCTGTTTTGGCAAATTACCATCCTGTCTCCAACCTTCGCTTTGTGGCGAAGGTTGTTGAGAGTGTGGTTGCGCGACAGCTCCCACAGTACCTGGATGAAACTGTCTATCTGGATCCATTCCAGTCTGGCTTCAGGCCTGGGTACAGCACGGACATGGCATTGGTCACTTTGGTTGATGATCTCTGGAGGGCTCGGGACAGGGGATGTTCCTCTGTTCTGGTCCTATTAGATCTCTCAGCGGCTTTTGATACCATCAACCATGGTA